CAGTTTGTTTCCAAAGGATTTCTAATGTGGGTTAATTTGGCATCTTTTTCCTGCTCACTCAGGGACAGTTAGACTTGGTGTCTGTGAGCTGTGCACCTAGGCTGCCCCCGAGGGTGTGTGTGTGTGCATGTGTGTGTGTGTGCACACACCCAGAAGACTTCCTGTCTCTGCAGCTCATACCCAGGAGAGTGAAGGCTCCCAGCTTGTGGGAAATTTTTTCTGACGGGTTGCGGGAGAGCGTGCACAAAACTGTATGTCTTTTGCTTTGATTTTCTCATTATGTTCAGGCATATGCTTGTTATTTGTCCAGCTTTTAGTGGGACATTCAGTCCTGAGCTCTAAATCAGTTCAAACTCTGATTCTCCTTCCTTCCTTCCTTCTTTCCTTCCTCCTTCCTTCCTTTGTGGGATTTTTTTTTTTTTTTGGACATAAAAGTTGGATTCATTCCAGTTTTAAGGGGACAGTGTAGACAGGGTTCCTTCTCCTTCCTCTTCCTTTTTTCAGCCTGATCCCACACCTGGATGACAGAGCACCTCACCCTGGGCATCCATTTGGTCCTTGGCTTTGTTTCATTGTTTGCACAGAGTGTGGAGGGTCTATGCTGACCTGTCCCCGCCAGGCCCAGGGAATGCCAGGTTAGTGGACTAGTACAATTGAAAGCTCTTTTGCATTCACAGAGTTAGTATCCATCTCTGAGAAGAGGAGACCAATAAAGAAGCTTTTAGTTTTTTAAAATTAGCCCCTCTGGGATAATGATTGAGATATAGGAAAATACAATGACTTGATCTAGTCACACAGCAACCAAGCAGAAAACCCAAAACAAGCAAAAACATGAAAGTTTTTATTAGCTAAAATTTAGTTTTTAGATCTAGTTTTTAAATCTAGTTTTTAAAGCTAATGAAATTCCTTAATTATTCATCCAAACAGTCCTTAGCTTTAGAATGTACAATTTAACTATCCGGTTCCCATTTATTGCCTCGCCCTCCCCACATCCTTCTCCAAGCCAAAAAATCCTAGAACAGTGTTACTCCAAGTGTGATCCAAAGAAGGCAGCACCAGCAGCTGCTGGGCACTTGGAAGAGATGAAAATTCTGGAGTTCTGTCTCAGACCTACTGGGTCAGCATCTCTGGGGGGTGGGGTGCAGTAATTTTTCCTCAAGCCCTCCAGTAATATTTATGCCCACCAAAGCTTGAGAAGCACTGCTCTAAAACATAGGGAAGTAAAGCATGGATCTGGAGCATCTTGGGAGGCAGGTGGCCTGTGCTTTCCAAGAAACCCACTGAACACTGCATTACAGCCTTCCAATGTCCCTTCGATGGTATGACGTCCATGGATCACCGATGCCAGCTACCTAGCAGGTATGGTGGACGCTGTTCGCAGTAAATAAACATATACAGCAAGTGCGTTTTCTGGATAAATGGAGGCTAAGGGTTAGAAAGAGATATGGGAAGTCGACACGGATTGAAAAGAAGCTTTTCTTCCTCCTTGCTAACCTGTCTGCATTGCTCTCATTTTTACTTGCACCCAGGAATATGGGTGCATTTAGCCTTTCTACAAGGAGTGCCTGGAATAGATAATTCTATTATAAAGAATCCAAGCCTGCTGCAAAACGTTTGAATGAAAAGCAATTGGATGGGCCTCCAACACCCATTCCATTGCTTGCTAGCTATGTGACCTCCAGCCAATTACATCACCTCTCTAAACCTTGCTTTCCTCATCTGTAAAAGGGGAGTAAGACTTGCCTTGCACAGTTGTTTTGAGAATTAATTGTGATTGTGGTTGTGAAATGCTAAGCATGAGAACGTGAGATGGGGGGGCTCCATAGAGGAGAACGATTTGGATTATTTTTGCTGTAATACAACATTCAGTTCACTGAGAAAACATGGATTTCACACTTCCTGTATGCTAGAGATGACGTCAGCTTCTTTCCACAGGCAGCTGAAGGCTGAACGCAAGGGTTGAGTGGGGACTGTATTAGAATCGCACGGGGGCTTATTCAAATTCCATAATACCTCACCCTCCTTTGCCTCATGAGCTTTTGGCACCCCTCCCTCATCCCTTCCCAACTTCCCCTCAGGGACTGTGAGAGACTCCCTCTGGGGATTTGGTTTTCAAAAGGCCTACAGGCAAATCTGATATATTCCCTCTTTGAGCTTCCCAGCAGTGTTCCTGTATCAGGCTAGTTAGACAAATATTCCTGGACATTTAGAATCTTTTAGGTGAGGGACTGGTGCACCTGGAGTTTTATAATACTTCTCTGGTATTGAAGGAGTCATTTGTGAATGCTTTTACCCTACCAGGGACCCTTCTCTTTTGTCTTCCCTTCAATAGAAAACTCCTTGCTAATTTCTCATGATAGTTGACCCAGCTTCTGCTTGATGAAATAGAAAAGAACATTGGAATGGGAGTTGTAAGACCCAGGCTGTCCGCAGTCTGCTGCTACCATGTCCTAGGAATAAGAAGCCACTCAACCTTAGAGCCTCACCATTCCCTTGTGTCCAGTTTAGGGCTTGATCCTAGGGTCTCTCATGTCCCTTCTGGCTCAAAGAGTCTAACAACTGTCAGGTCCTACTACTATTGTAACATACCATCTTGCTGTATGTATACTAACAAAGTGAGGATCATTGAAGAAAATTATGTTTCTCACAAGACTGAAGTATAATTAGCATGGTAGTTGCTTCCAATAAATGTCAGTAACTGGAAATGGTTTATTCTCTAAATAATCTCCTTACCTAAACCTTGCTAAGCCCGTTATTTGTTTTAAAAAACCTGTATTTTACAGATAACGCACACAAAAAAGACTTTGATCCTACTGCTGTTCTCATCACAAATTTCAAAGTGGTGAACTCAGTTGTGAATGAAAGAGATTTTTGACTTCACCATTAGTGTATGTATCCTGGATTTTATAAATATATTTTCCTTTCCTATCCAATGTCTGACCTTGGAACCCATTCACCAGTTTATTTTTTTCCTATTGATCAGGGATGCAAGAGGGCTCTGGTCTTTGGGACAGCACTTTAGTAAACAGAGAGGTTCCCCCCGCCCCCCAAAAAAAACTTTCTTGTGATCTGGTATGTTTCCAAGCCTGGGAAATGAGTGAGGCTCAAGCCCACCCACATGCCAGCTGTATCAGGGCTCCTGGACCTTGAACTGTTACCTAAGCCACCCTCCCTGCTGCACCAGCTGCACTGCTCATTCATAGTGACCCAATTTCTTTTCTTATGTAAGCACCCTGCATCACAGAACCAAGCGGGAGAGTGCCGGTGGGCAGTAGCATGTGTGGCCATGGGGATGTTCTTGTAGATTCTGTGCATGCTCAGGGGGATGCCCGGATTCTGCCGAGTGTTCTAGGAATTCTGGACATAAGCCTTTCCCTTCCTGCGACTGGACGGATACTAATTAAAAAAAAATGTGTAATGTTCATAGAGCCTTGACTTCTTAGCATGCCATACAAAGAAAACCAAAGTGAATTGAAAAAATGAAACTAAAAAAAAAAAAAAAGGCAGATCCTTCTGTTTCTCTTCCATCTTCCTGAACTGTTTACCACCTACCACCTTTAAGTGACCAGGATTGTTCGGGGGAATTAGATGTGTTTACTCTGCATGATTACTCTACAGGCATAATGGTCCGGAAGACGCCCAGAGCCCTCACTGAGGGTTGGGCCCTGTGTGTATTAACTCCACCTCACCCCAAAAGCCCCATGGAGCAGGTCCTGTTAGGATCTACATTTCACAGATGAGGGAACGAGGCACAGAGTGTTTAAGCATGGTGCCCAAGGTGGTGCTGAGCTAGTTACATGTCCAAGCCAGGACAGAAGAGCTTTAGGACAGAATCCCAGGCAGAATAGTATGAGGGATCAGAGAGAAGTCACTCCTTCCAGCTTCTTGAAATCTGTGGAGGTACTAAAGGGGGGCCTCCAGTTCCCTAGGTACCTGGGAAGGAGCAGGGTCTGGGGTACACAGGGGCCCAGGCAGAGGAGCACCGCTAATGCAAAGCAGGTCCCGCTGAGAGATGCCAGTAAATGCTCATGAGCCTTTCAGAAATAAATGGACATCCTTCATTTTAACCAAACCCAGTTATGGACAAGCAGAAGGGAAGGAGAGGGTCCTGGTAGAGAGAAGGAAGGGGGAAGAGGGAAGGAGGGGCAAAAAGGGACAGAGGACAGAAGAAAAGGATGAGGGGCTGAGAAAGATGCTGAAGAGTCAGAGAGAGGACCAGGCAGAAAGTTTGCTGGGAAGAGGTCGGAGGGGTTAGAAGGAGGAGGAAAGGATATAGCTGGGAAGAAAAGCGTCTGTTCTGGTCCCGTACAATTCCTTTGCTGGGTCCCCTAAGCAGGAAAGGTGGGCCAGATCTGGGCCAGGTGGGCTGTATACAAAGGCAGCTGGTGCTGTCTGCTCTGGGAAGGGGAAGGTCTCCTCCAGCCTCAGGGGGCCTTCCACCCCCTTCTCACTTCCATTGTTCTCAGGTGAAGTTTTTGTTTGCACGGTGACCCTCACCCCAGCTTTGTTCAGAGGCAGCCTTGGGAATATGGCAGGGTGGGAAGAGATTGGGACCAAGAGGGGTGGGTGAGCAGAGGACGAGGGCTGTGGACAGGCACAGTCTGTGTGGGGCTTTGTGAGCTTTTTCTTTGCCACAGTCTGTTCTCTAGAAGCTGCTTCTTAGGTCCGGACCTCCCTAGGCCTTCTCCTCCTCACTTCCCCATCTCACCTCCCTAGGCCTTCTCCCCCTCACTTCCCCATCTCACCTCCCTAGGCCTTCTCCCCCCAACTTCTGATCTCTCCTCAAGCTCTTCTTTTGAAATCCCTGACAAATTTTAAGTGCCATATTTTGCTTTGGTCCCCCTCCCACTCTCTCTGAAGCCAGCTCTGGAAATTCAGGTGATTGCATCTTGGGTTGAGGCCGCCTGAAAGAGCTCAACGTCTTTACAAGGTCACTTAGCCACACTTTGTTACAGTGTCCCCAGGCCACCACTGGGGAGTGTGCCAGTCTGCTCTTTAGGATGGCCCTGTGCCTCAGGGAGGTGGCCATGCTGCGGGAGAGAAGAGAGTTTAGACAGATTCCAGGTTACCAGGAGCACCTCATGGCCTCAGTTGTCACCACAGATAAGGTGATGGCAGGTGTCCTCCTGCAGGAGAACCTCCAGCTCTGTGAGCTAGACATCTCATTTGCCCTAGTACTTTCAGTGTGATTGCTTGATCTGGGGTTTTTGTCCATCCGTTCTTTGGAGGGAGAGCTAACATGAGGCTCTCTGATCACGAGAGGAGACACAGGCAGAGTGGGCTCTGAAGTCACACAGATGTGGGTGTGAATCCACTGTCCACCTCTTACTGGCCAAGTGACCCCACACATTGAACTTAAACTCTCCAAGTCTCACTTTCCCTCTTTGTGAAATGAGCTTCCATAAGAGCTAACATGTATTGACTGCTGGATCGCCTCATTTCGTCCTCATAACAATCTGGGGCAGCAAGTCCCAGTATTATTCCCATTTTACAGATGAGATGAGGCAGGCTTCAAGATGTTAGGACCCTTTTCTGAGGTCGCACAGATTCAGACCCAGGCTGTCTGACTCCAGGACCTCTGCCTTGACAATAGGGTGGGTGTGAAGATTGAATGAGTTGATATATGTAGATTGGACAACACAGAACTGGGCCCAGGGTAAGTCCTCAGTGTGTGGTGGTGACGATGTTCCTGGGGGGGAGGTGGGAAACAGTTGGCTGAGAGCTGTGTCTGACGCAGGCCTGAGTTGCAAAAGGAGCGCAGAGCAGAGCACGATCTTACGCAGGGAGAGTTAATTGGATCCATCCCTCTCACTTTACAGTTGAGGATGCTGAGACCCAGGGAAGTTGAATGTGTTGTCCAAGGTCACAGAGCTAATTATGGGCCTGACTCTGATCAGAACAGATGCTCCCAACTGGGACAGTGGTGCTTCTGTCCCAGGTGGACGGGCAGGGTTCCGTAGGCTGCCTCAGTGAAGCCAACAGGCGATCATGAGCTGGGTATGAGTTTACCACACATTTTATATCAAATCCCCATCCCCGCCTGAGTCAGTCTCAATTGCTTCCAATGTCATTCAGTTGAATTCTGTTGCCCATGTCCATCCTTGTCTCTAGGTTTTTCTGCTACTCCAAGATACTCCTCTGCCTTCCACAGTGACTTTCGATTTCTCCCCACCTCATCTGTTGCCATCATTTCTGGAAACATCACCATCTGTGGAGTTACTCATGGCCCCCTTGTCTTGGGCTGAGATGGCACTCCCCTCCCTGCCCCTCCAGCCATTGCTGGTGTAGGCTTCCTGTAGGCCCTGCCATCATGCCGAGCCAGGACTGGACCACTGACTCACGTAAGAACGCTGGCTTTGTAGTTTGGCATCCATGCCACTTACTAACCCTGTGACCTTGGGCAAGTGATCTCACTTCTCTAAGCTTCCTTTATCTCTCTACAAAATGGCAGTAGTTCAGGACCTATGCTCTAACTTTGCCATATGGAGCAAATGCTGGTGGTTCATAGAGCATCTAATGTGGTGCCTGGCCCAAAGTAAGTGCGCATTCAGGGCCGGCAGTGGTCCATTTTCAAAATTCCTTCTCTAACGTCAACCTTTTTTTTTTTTTTTTAACCTCATGTTTATCCTTCTCCTCTTTTCCTATGTTCCAACGTTTAGATCCTAAATCCTTGCTGTTCTCCGGGTTCAAGCTTTGTCTGCCAACCTGGAACTGACGGTCCTTTCTTTGAACGATGGGCGCATCCTCAGAGTTAAAAGTTCTTGCTCCCTTCCTGGTGCCTCATAACCTTGTTCAGGAGCTGGAACCTAGGACCTCACAAGTCTTTGCCTATTTCTTACCCTATTCCTGCTTATTTTTCCAAAGTACCTATTCCAAACCCTTCCCAAACCCCTGTATCACACACTGGACTTATAATATTCAACTAATTATTTTAAATTATTGCTCAATGTCTGTAACACTGGACTAGCTTTTGAGTTCTGTGAGGTGGTGACTTCATCTGATTTACTCATGCCATATCCTCACAGCCTAGCACGTGGAGGCAGACTGCCTTCACGGGGACTTCACCCCAAATTAATGAAGATCAAAGCTGTTCAGCCTTATACATCTCAAAGATGCCCCTTCTCTGGCCAGTTCTTTCTATCCTCACCCACCCCACTTTCTTTTTCTCTACTTTTGACTTTAAGGGAGACAAGTTCTCCTACTCCTTCTTGGTCCCCCTCCTTCTCTAGGATTTGTCTTCACCAGATATATTCTTTCTCTTCCCTTGGTCTTTTCCTTCTGCCTGCAAATACATCTAAAAAAGATCTTGCTTTAGAGTCATATGGACCTGGTAGCAAAACTTGGTTCCCCTTGCCAGCTGTGGAACTGGGACACATCTTCGACTTCTGTAAGTAAGTCTTAATGTCTTCGTTTGGAAAACCAGAGTGCTACTATCTATGTATCAGCATTGTTGTGAAAATAAATTGAGCTGGTGTTTGCAAAATCCCCAGCAAAAAATATGGCATGTAGTAAATAAATAAAATTTTATGCCCCAAATCCTAAATAAATACATAAAAATAAAACCCTGCCATCCCTAGGTCCCACCACCTTCTCCAGCTAAAATCAGACAGGAATTCCTTCATTTTCCTGCACCCAAACTAGAAATTTCCCTGTATCCACATGCAGCCCTTTCTCTTCCGCTCCATCATAATTCTCTTCTCAGGCTTATTTCTACAACATTTTATCAGTTACACTCTTTCTGTCCTTTAATTTCAACTCCTTCTAGTCAAGCAGTCTTTTCTGATTAGATCAGCATTCAAACATACTCAAGACCATCTTACCAAAAACAAAACAAAACAAAACAAAAAACAAAACACACAACAACAACAACAAAACCAGAAAACCCCAAGCCCTTCTTTCCTGACCTCTGATTTCCTTCCAGTTATGCTGTCTGATCTCTCTCCTCCCCTTCTTGCAAGAAACATCTAAATGAACTATTTCTGCTTCCTCTCCTCTCTTTCACCCCCACGTTCACCCCAGTGCCCAGGGCCCCCATCACACCACTAAAGCTGCAACTGCCCATGGTCGCTGAATCTCATCACTGAATCCAACAACTGCCTCTCGGACCGTAGCTAGCTTGATCTCTGGGTAGCACTGGCCACATGGCCGCTTTCTCTTCCTCAAAACCTTCGCTTCCCTGGGTTTTTGCAGTGCTGTCTTATCCTTCTGTCTCTCTGGCTCTTTCACAGGATTCTTGATGTATCTTATAAGTAGGCTCAATAATTGTTTACGTGATTATTATTAAACACTAGTCTTCCTGAGCTATTTCTAATTACTCAAACATTCTTAATTATTGGCCTTCGCTGGTGTGGCTCTCCCTTCCTACAGTTCTCTTCTCCATCCCCCCTTCCCTTCTTTCACTTAGCTTCCTGCTCCTCCTACTTTACATCTCAGCTTAGAAGCTTCTCCGTCCTTCTTAGGGCCTTAGGTCTGGCTGAGGCATCCCTGCTGAGTGCTTTCACAGCAACCTATGCTTACCCTGCCATCCCACTTATTGTGTATAAAGGAACTACCAAATTATATTTTCTTGGCTCAAACGGCCCTTTCACTGCAAGTTCTGAGGGCTTAGCTGTGCCTGTTTTTAGCACATCTCGAAGAATGCCCGGGTCCCTTAATGGGTGTATGAATGAGCGAGTGAATGAATGGAGGAGGCATTATTGCTATGTTGGGTTGGGAGTTAGTATACTTCGTATTTTTAATGCTACACAGTATTACCTGCGTGAACTCCGTCAAGCCTGATCTCCAAGCATCAGCTTCTTCCCCTGTAAGATTGGGAGAAGTACAGCAACATTCCTGAGAGCACCTTGCAGGTGTTCTCTCTTTTTCAATCCACACAAAGGCCCAACAAAGCTGAGACTTCAGTGAAGGGAGATAATGTCTGTCTCTTGTCTCGCATGAGGTCGGGGAGTTTCCCTAGTGGGGTTATCTTCACCAATGCCATCAAGGGAGGCAGAAAGGCAATTTCCTTTATCTGTAACTGGATTCAATTTTTTCTCGATGGAAAACAACACAAAATCTAACACAAACAACAAACTTCAGCTTTGCCATTCAAAGGATTTGGTCTCTTCCAGTTTAGAAACAAGAGGCCCTTCCAAGTGACTCTTCCAAGCCACTTTGCATTTACTCTTTTAGATAAATGCACAGTGTTTTAGGGTTCTCCCCCTGCCCTTTCCTTCCCAATCCCTGCCCACAGGAGAAGGCTTTTGGCCTGTGGTCCTCATGTCCCCCCTGCATCCACCAATAGCATCCATGGCTCTTGCCATGTGTGGACCTGTCACTGCTCAGAGACTGCCTTGCTGGACCAGCTCCACCTTGGCTCTCATGGGCACTGAGTCTCTTTGGAGGCTTCCACAGCTCCAAATGGTATTCCAGCCAACCTCTGCCTGTGGCCTCTGCTACAGGGGCCCTTTCTGCAAGCAGTGGCAATCTCCTGGCAGGGGCCCTTTCTGCAAGCAGTGGCAATCTCATGGCAGGCAGGCTAGCTCTCAGATCTGAGCTCCTCAGAGCCTGGGGAAACCTCTGGGTTACCGCTAAAAGAACTTGGAGGAGACAAGGTGTGGCAAAAAAGAGCATCCACAAGGGATTTTATGGGTAGATTTTATGACCTGACATATTTTGTACATTGGTAGTTTAAAAAAAACCGTTAAAATGAATGAATGATTCTCTGGCCATTTCTCTGTCTAATCGTCGTCATGTTAGTGCTTCCTGCTCTCTTTGATTCTCATTTTATCTTTGGTTTCTACTCCCTCCTCTCAGGGTTTTAAACCCAATGTAAGAATGAGGGTGCGTGGGGCCCTGAGCCAAACTCTCATATGAGTTTAAACACTACTCTCCTCTTCCTTCCCTGGCACAGGAGCAATTTTATTTCCATCCTGCCTGACGGGAAACAGCCTTACATCATGTTCTGCTTTCTCCATACTCCTTATCTTAGAGGACCATATGTCTTGTCTTACGGTGATCATATGTTCTGGTTTTTGTCTATGGTGGCCGTGGTTTATGCCCATTGTCTCTGTGTAATTAATAGGCATGCCCCCCATTGACTCTCAAAAACGTACTGGCTCGGGGGGTAGTTTTCATGGCTACTCTACTTTTGTTAAACACTTTAAACTCAGGCCTCCAAACTTAGATTTCTTTTCGATTTGGGAATTCCATCAAAACCCTTTTCTCTCAAGTTCCTGGCTCTGGCAACTAAAAGTCTTGGTTTTTTATGACAATTGTTCCAGTGTAGGACATTACAACATCTATTTTGAATGACAAAGATACCCAATGACTTTTTAATTAGAAATGAAAATGTCTCACAAAAGTAAAAACAAACATTTAAATATGTCGATAGCAGGGCGCCACCAATCCGTGGGATGACCCTGGGCGGCACGTTGTCCTGGTGCACACTGGTGGGCCTCAGATGCTCAGGTGATCCACTCTCTCAGAATTAAGAACTGTTGACATATTGTCCTTTTAACAAGTTTTAGAAAAGAAAGAAAACATTCCGGTAAGAGTCATATTTAACCAATGCAGTCACCTCATTCTAGGCTGTGTCTGCCCATTCCCTGAGGACAGTTTGTAGAAAGATATAGCTCTAATTTGAGTGGAGGAGAGTGTTTTGAGGGTTAAGATAATTTATAAAATATATCTTAATATAAAAACATTAACTGAATGTATAGGCTATCAGTGGATGTTGTTTTCCAAATCTACATGGTAACCCTGCTCATCTTATTCTGATTGGAAACTCTGTTTGGCAATATGCATGACATGGATTTAAAAAAAATGAAAAGGTGTGTTCATAATTAAATCATTCGGGAGAAAAATTATAATTAATCTTAATTAAACCATGTAATTTGATAAGCAAGATATTTTAAAATAAAGTATCCACAGGCTAAACCATTAAAACACAGGGCCTCAAAAGTCTTTTAGAAGAGGCTGGGAACCCTGTGAAGGTAATAGAATGGCTTTAGTGACTGAATTTCAGTGTTTACTTTCAGACGTTCTTCTGGTAGTAGTGAAGGATTTGCCCTGAGGCATTAACACCCTCCTGTAGTTTGTCTTGTAACAGATTGTTGTTTCAGGGTGGTTAACGTGGATTAGGGTAGGGAATGCATTACAAATATTACTTTGGCCTCATTAGAAACACAGGTTCACCAGTGGACTCAGGGGACAGCGGACTCTGCACTAGGGGACAGGCAGTGACCCCCGAAGGCTGATGAAGAGTGACCAGGGCTTCTCATAATCATTATTACTATGGCTTCCTCAACATTTCTCCCTCACATTCCTACAGTCCTTGAGCAGGAGCAGAGCTTGCCTCTGAGTGTACTTGTGTGTTTAGGAGAGAGTCTTCAAGAGGATGTGGGGCACTGGGGGTTGGACAGTCCGGGCTGGTTTCACATTATTGCTGCCTTTCTCTCTTGCTTCTATAGTTCATGAGCTTAAGCCTCTTCCTCTCTCTCTTCCTCCCCACCCACCACATCCACAGATGGGGTGGCTGCATTCCGCGCCTTCTTGAAGACAGAGTTCAGCGAGGAGAACCTGGAATTCTGGCTGGCGTGTGAGGAGTTCAAGAAGACCAGGTCAACTGCAAAGCTGGTCTCCAAGGCCCATAGGATCTTTGAAGAGTTTGTGGATGTGCAGGCTCCGAGGGAGGTGTGTTGGCAGTGGCGAGAGTCTTGTAAGACCTCTATCCATGGCTCCTGGCTCACATCACTCTCCTTGTGGGGGTTCAAGCCAGTCTTAATGGGTACTGTCTTTGAACGGAGCCTTACCTCTCTGATGGCTCTTAATGAAAAAAAAAAGGATCACTTTTAAGGTGCAGAGCCCAGGGCTTCTAAAAAAGAGCTCTATTAGGAATGTTTTAGCTGTCAAAAATGCGCCTGCAGGACCTGTGTTCCTATAGGGATTCTGCAAGGGTAGATGCCATTGAATCCATGTTAGTTTTCCTAGTGGAAGGCAGCATGGCTTAATGGGATGAGCATCCACTTTGGAATCTTGTTACTAGCTGTGTGATCTTGGCCAAGTCCGCTAGTCTCTCTGAATCACATTTTCCCCAGTGTAAAAGTGTATAATATCCCCTACCTTTCAAGACTACTCTGAGTATTAGAGATAAAGCACCTATTCAACATCTGTCACTGCTGCTTTTTTTTTTTTAAGATTTTATTTATTTATTTATTTGACAGAAAGAGACACAGCGAGAGAGGGAACACAAGCAGGGGGAGTGGGAGAGGGAGAAGCAGGCTTCCTGCTGAGCAGGGAGCCCAACATGGGGCTCGATCCCAGGACCCTGAGATCATGACCTGAGCTGAAGGCAGACACTTAACGACTGAGCCACCCAGGCACCCCCTGTCACTGCTTCTTAATGAGTCATTACAGTCATTTATATTATCTTATTATAACTTAGTATCATTACAATAATAAAATGAATTGCTATGCTGAGTTATAAAGCAGAATTTTACTTGGGATGGTTTTATAGAAGAAAAATATTTGCTATCTATGATTGCTATCTATCTATAATTCAGTGCATTATATACCTAGAACTCTTCAATTATCCTTTGACTTGGGATGTAGGAGATCTTTGGCCAGTGGCCAGGACATTGTAGGCTCCTTATAATGCTGCTTGGAAGAGAGATGTCCATTATAACCATGGTCTCTCTTCCGGGGACATTTGTTTCCCTAGTAGGTAGGGCAAGCTTTCTTTACGGAATCCACATTAATACTTACCTTCAGTCTCACCCTTTGCCTGATATGGTGAAGACCCCTGGCTTAGGAGTTAAGTGATTAGGGTTTTGCCTTGACTCTGTTACTAACTTTCCATACTACTTTAGACCAGCTTTTCAGTATCTCCTTTCTTCAGTGTCCTTATCTGTAAATTGGGGTGAGGTATATCTGGTCTTCAGACCTCACAGGATTCTTGCTGGGATCAAAAGGGATGACCTCCAGGAAAACAGTTTGAAAAGCATGAATCAGCTGACATATATAAGATACTGTCATTAATAATTATTACATAGCTAGGAACAGTTGCCAGGCACCTTGGCCCTTGAGGGCCTGTGACCATGCTCTCTGTTTGTGTCTCCAGGTAAACATAGACTTCCAGACCCGAGAAGCCACGAGGAAGAACATGCAGGAGCCATCCCTGACTTGCTTTGACCAAGCCCAGGGAAAAGTACACAGCCTCATGGAGAAAGACTCTTATCCCAGGTTCCTGAGGTCCAAAATGTACTTAGATTTGCTGTCCCAAAGCCAGAGGAGGCTCAGTTAGACCTCAGATGGGGACTCTTGGAGATCACTGGCTTTTCCCCTCCCTTTGCTGCCAAGACCATATTCTAACGTGAAATGTGATAGGTGTTCAAAAAGCAATGGCATTTAGGTTGGGAGCCTGGGAATGAGAAATGGATGAAAGGCCATTCCAAAGTAAGATCCAGTCACCAGAGTTTGGACTCTATTCCATTTATCCATGTTTGTGTTTCGGTTAGTGGTAGAACCTTGCTGCTATTACCCTTCTTCTGGGTCAGCGACTTGCCCTCCATAATGCCGTGGGTCATCTCCACTGAGAAGGCAGATTTGCTAGCTGGGCTAATGTGTAAATAATACAAATGCAATTTCCGCCACTTCCATACCCTCCTCAGTTAAGATTCCTGACTCTAACTTGTACTATACCCCTGTGAGGAAGAGCTAGAAGACTCTGGCTCATGTTTGTGATTTGCTGTCACAATGTAATGGCCAGTCCTGCGTGCTGGGACCTCACAATGTAGGAGAGAGGTCTCTGGGGAATCCCAGGTTTCTAGCACTGTCATTAACAGGTGGCCCTGGGAGAAGGGGCAAACTCCATGAGGTTGGCTATTTCTTCCATTTCCACTGGACCAGTATGAAAAGCTGTGATTACTGCCCATCTTAGCCTAGGAAATTCACAAGACTTTTTTTACCCTCGCAATTCCAGGAAGGGTCTTGGGAGATAACTTTCATGACTTCTGATGTGGAGCTGCTTTTAAGAAAGATACAGCTTGCAAATCTTCCTCGATTCTACCAAGAAGTATTCCGGAAGTCAAATGACCAGGGAACATAGCACCAGTAGACTTTTGTGCAATGGGGCACCATATATCCTTTCTGTTGCTTACTGTATTCTCTGCCCTCACCTCCCTGTGGCATCACACATCACTGATCTCTTAGAATGACAGATAGCTTGACAAAGGGAGGTGAATTCCCCTAGCATGGACAGCTCTCATGGTGCCTAATACTTTCCTTGTCTCTCCCTGTCCCCCCTTCCATGCAGGTCATGTAATTATGATGGGGGAGAATGGGAGCTTAGGCTGTAACTCTTCAGCTTGCTTCCTGGGAGCATGCTTTCTTAGAAAGGTCTCTCTCATGAGGGCCACCTTGGCTATTCAGCAACTTCTTTCTTGATCTCTGACCTTTTGGGATTGAACATGGAACAGGAGGTGAGGCTAAGATCACTGTGAACATCTGGCTGTGGAGAATCTTCCTAAAATGCTTTCATGGTACCCTGAGGCTGCTTTTGGAACTGTGTCAGGAAACTCTTCCTTGGAGGATGAGCATAAAGCACTCTAGCTGCCTGAGAAAAAGTGGACTTTGGCACAAGTTTGCAGTGCCTGGGATGTGAATCCTCAGCAGAGAGACCGGAAAGTGGAAGAGGAGTCTGGAAGAAGCTGGTCTCCAGGTGCACCAAATCATAGAGAATGTGGTGGAGGTACTACTGGGATAATTCACAGCCAGTGCATTTGGATTCATTGCAGATCTCCAAAACTTTCAGCTTGACTAAATGAAAGAGCTATGATTAGGCACAAGCTCTGGAGTTTAGGTGATTGAGAACTGGGCTGCATTCTCCCCTTGTGGGGTGATGGGCCTCTTTAGATACACTTGCTGGGATTCTAGCATTTGCATTCCTGTCCAGTAACTTTGTGAATCTCTTCCTTCTTTGGCTGCAGCTAGACAAGGTCAAGGAGGCTCTTGAGTCCCACTGGTGTTAGGGTCCATTGCCCTGCCACAACACATTATATCTGTAAGCGAGGGTTGGTGAGTCTGTCTGAACCATCAAAGAGAGAGAGAACACATGCCTCCTAGCCCTCACACTGAAGCATCCTGTGAAATCTCATGTTCAAGAACTCTGAAGCCTCAAATGGGTGTTCCTAGTTAGAGCAGGTAGTATTCCCCTGCCCCCACGGGTAAAAAACCATTCTTAGCTAAAGCTGCCAGAATTAATTTAATGATCAAATTTTGAACAGGGTATTTTAAACATTGTTTACATATGAAACGTGCATCTGCTGCCAACTCTACTGTCGAATATGAAGTGCATGTAAATTGGAACAGCACAGAGTTATGGAAAAATGAAATGTTTAAGAGGGGCCTTTTTACCACTTCCACTATCCCCAGGAGAAGTCTGCACAAGAGTGTTGGGCAGTGGCCTCACCTGAGGCCTGGAGTTCTTGCCAACCGTTTGTGGAATGAAGGCTGCAGATGGTGGTGTCGTGGCGCTGGGTGACTTCCTCCCACGATGGGGAGGTGTGAAGGACCAAGCTTGGGTATCGTGAATTTTGCCGCTATGGGAGGGCATGTGGGCGTGTGTCTGTGTGTAGAGGAATGTGATAGCTATATTTATGGTACTCCCGTGGAGTGTCTGCGTGCGTGCGTGTGTATGTGACCATTGTGAGCATGAGGCCAGTACCCCACAGAGATGGTCTTCCCATGCGGTGGAGCTGTCCTCACACCCTTTCTGTCCTGCTTCCCACAAAAGGCACAGAGCTCTCTGCTCTGATGCCTATGTTCAGGCACTTAGGTCATGCCAAGCCAGATTTTGGTCTGTGATGAAACAAAGAGAAATGTTTACAACACCTAGAGCAATATCAAAGCATACCTCATCCCTGACCTTCCATGTCTCCTAGTCCTACCCTCTCTCCTAGTTCCTCTTCTACGAACCCTCGTCCGCCTCACTAGGTGGGCATCTGCAGGTGCCACTTCTTCCGTGTAAGGTCTTCCTTTGGTCCTCAGGCCGGGCTCGTGCTGTGGACTGCCTTCCAGGCTCGAGGCTTGCTCTGGGCCTGGGCCCTTTGAAGACCCAGGGAAGCCAGGGCAGTGGGCCAGGCAGAGCTGCGATTCTTAGGATTGCTCTTCACCCGGCAAGTGGCCTTTTGGCTCTACTTGAGTGTCAACCTGTTTTTAGGCTGGTGTGAGATTACCTGTTGCCTTCGGCAAACCAAATAGAACCTAATCAATGACAACCATTCATAGCCCCAGGGCGCCCGTGGGGTGAGCATGCCCAGCATCCTCTGAGCGTGCCCAGGGCTTACTGGGAGAGCCTGTTACAAGTGCTAATTCCCAGGTGGCACACCCAGAGATGCTGATCCAAAAGACCTGGGGGGGGGGCACCCAGAAAACTGCATTTTTAATATGTTCCCATGGAGTAGTAGGCTTTGAAAGAAGATGGTCTGAGACAGTGGCTCCCAGCATTGGCTTCTCCTTGGAATCACCTGGGGAGTTTTCAGACCTAAATGTCCTGGTCCTACCCCAGAGCACCTTGGGGCTGGGACCCAAGACAGCAGTCATTTTTAAAGCACCCCCGGTGATTGCCCATGCGGATGAGGTTAGGAAGCACCGGCCTGGGGAGTGAGGAGGAGTATGGCTGAGCTTACCCAGCGGCAGGGCCTAGGGGGCTGGAGCACACCCAGAGGCGAACTGGCACAATAACCAGGAACCTGCCAGCCCTGAGTCAGACTCTGGGTGCCCCTTTGAGATAATGTTTCTGCCCCAGCTGCATGGGGCGTGAGGCAGTGGGTAGGCCGATGGTGGGCAGCTCTGGAGGGTATTTGATTCAGAGAGGCTTTGCCATGCATCTGAGTCTCATTCGTAGTGCTTCCTCCAAGCTGGCCTCCTGGGCTTCTCCCTCGTTTGTGTGTGTTCATGCACTCTGTGTTTGGCCATTTGCATTAGGTTGTGCCTCTGTGTCCAAGGCCTTGCGACAGGGTAGCTGGAACTCAGGTGATGGGCGAAGGGTGTGTCCCATCCTGGGAATATCATGCTCTTCGGGACTTTCTTTTCCAAGGCCACAGTGGGGTTTCAGTTCCTGCTCTAAGCCCTCACGATTCCCTCTTTGGTCTCAGGCTGGATGGGCAGCTGGAAGGTTCCTAGTTGATTTTCTTCTCTGGTGCTCCCCCCAGAATTTGTGCTCTGAACAAACCAAAGCTGGGAAATGGTGTTCTGCCCAGGCTGTAGGCCCAGCCTCTGGGTGCAGGGAGGGCCTGGGTGCTTTTCTTCAGCAGGGCCGAGGTGTCCCCATAGCCCGGGCCCTGGACTGTGAGGGAAAGACCTGAACCCATTGTGTTGAGAGCTGGGGGACGGTAGGAGTGGGGAAGACTGAAGAGGAACGAACAGGGTGGGAAAGACAAGCAGCTGACGTGGCGTCTGCTTTTCCACCAAGCAGAAGGGACAGGTGAAAAGCGGCACATTCAGAGGCAAGATGGCTCCCACCGACATGAGTGCCCGGAACTCTCCGGACCCTGTCTGTGCCTACTCCCAAGCAAAGCAGAGGAATTTCATTTTCCATCTGACGCTGTCCTGCAGTCGGCTGAGCGTCAGCCCTCTTTAAATATGTGTCTCTCCGGGTCGGAAGCAAGAGAGGCAGCAAAGTCACCCCTGCTGTTGAGAACCTGTGCTGCTTGGCATGAGATCGTGGAGGAAGAAGCCAAGAGCAGAAATGTCTTCCTGTGCCCGTGGCCTCTCAGGACCCCACAGGGTGCTGTGGACCGATATGGGAGACTGCAAGACGGCACCACTGGCCTTCCCAGGCGTGGGGTCCAGGCCCTCTCAATAAACTGTGCCCTTGTTGGTTGTTACTCCTGTTGGACCCTTCTGCGGCCTTCCCTCTGCCGCGTGCGGGAAAAGGTGGCTGGGCTCGGCGTGCCCCTCAGCCACAGCAGCATAGCTGAGTCCCGCGGCGTGCGCAGGAGACTCGTAGCAGCTCATCTGCCATATAAACCGCTTGGCTGGTGGAGTCCTCATTGAGTTGTTTCATTACTGTGCAAAGTGGAATAATGTCATTCACCTTTGCTATAAACAAGGCTGTGAGAACATAATAAACAGAACCTGAACGCGCTGCCCTTCACTCTCTGCCCACATTTCTGGCCAGCTGACTCTTTATGAGGAGATGCTTCACATAACACATGGCCTCCCCCCAGGGGGCACGTGGCTTCACCAGGCAAGGACTGGCACAGGGCGGGCCATGGGGAAAGGCAGCCACGTGGGTGGAATTGGGGTGGCAAGGGTTTGGGGTTGTGCGGGGGTGGAGAGTGACTTTGGGCAATGAGGGTGGCTTTGGAACTGTAACGTGCTATACAAATAGGAGGTGGTGTTTTTATTAGTACCACCTACTGCTTGAAATGCAGGGGGAGAAAAGGCTGAGGGATGGTTTATATATTTGTT